CAGAATATTGAAAACAGAATAAAACTTCAAACATTAAAAACTTCCCTAAACAGGGCTGCCTTCAGATGTGTTCAGTATATTCAGGCATAACCAGCATCTTCAACATAATTTGCCTCAAAGTGAAGTTCAAAGCTGAATTGCAGGCATTCTCATTTTTAACAAAATCTCAGTGGGACTTTGCAGAAAATCAAATTAATTTCAGTTAGGAACTTAACATAACTTTGGGTGGGGATAGGGCGGTCTAGTCTCTTGGGCTTGCCGATCGGAAGGTTGGCGGTTCGAATCCCCACAATGGGGTGAGCTCCTGTTGCTCTGTGCCAGCTCCTGCCAACCTAGCAGTTCAAAAGCATGTCAAAGATAAATAGGTACCACTCTGGCAGGAAGGTAAACGGCATTTCTGTGAGCTCTGGCACTTGTCATGGTCCTCTGTGCACCAGAAGCGGTTTAGTCCTGCTGGCCATATGACCCGGAAAGCTGTCTGTGGACAAACGGTGGCTCCCTCGGCCTGAAGCGAGATGAGCGCCACAACCCCAGAGTCACCTTTGACTGGACTTAATCGTCCAGGGGTCCTTTACCTTGTTTACCTTTATCTAGGGCGGTCTAGTTCCCACAGTTGTCAGTGGAATTTCAAATCAGACTTGGAAGCATCTCTTTGAGCAAAATCTTTAACGAATATTGAGGAAAGCCAAAAGATTATTGAGAGTAAGAATATTTTTTCAGTAAGATTTCAAATGCCACATCAGTTATTTATTCATGGTGCGTTTATATCCTGACCTTCTTATAGATTAGAACTCAGGGCAATGGACATGAGGTTCCTTCCCACGTGGTTGATTTGACTTCCCAGGCATTGACTTGAAACAGACATGCTTTGCTTCAGAAAGTGTGGTTAGATATGCCTTCAGACCATAGCTATCCTTTGTCAGCAATAAGATTTTTATCATGAACCAGGACAAAATTCAGGATATGAAGCCATGTACATGAGTGAAGTGTCAGAGGAGGAGGAAGAACCAGCTTCAGTGATGAGCCCAAGTGACGCCCCTTTGCACCAAGAGCCCATCTCTCTACCATCTCCCAGTGTGAGGAGGTTGTATTCCCATCATCCAAGGCTTTTTGCCCAGAAGTCCCAATGAAGCCACAGGGGCCACCATCCCAGTGAAGCTGATGGTTGCTTAAGCAGGCAAAGCCCCTTTAACTAAAAGAGCTAACCATCCAGACAGGTATCACTCTGGGACTCTAGCTGAAGCAACATTTGAACCTGCTCATACAATTTTCCAACTTGAGAGCCTGCATGGGAGCGCTCTCCAGGACGCTAGCTAGAACCTGAACTAAACTTTGCATTGCTTTGCCCTGAGCTTTGCTTTGCTTTAGTTTCGTTTGCTGAGCCTTCAGTACTAGTCTGTCCCTCCTCAAATTGCTTGGTTTAAGGGAGCTGTTTGCTTTTGCTGTTGAGTCTGTGTACATTTTTCCACCTGCTGTTCAAACATTGTTTTTATTTGGTTGTTTTATAGTTATTGTACTTTCCCTTTTATGTTCTCTACACGGCTTCCAGAGGTCTTTCTGGGGTGGTTTATAAACTATAATGTCAACTATCAAATAATAAATAAATGTGATGGGTCTGACCTAATGTAGGCCCATTAGCATCTGGTTCAACATGGAGGTGTTTTGACAGAGCCAAATAGCATTAATGAGCCAAAAAGAGCTGTTAAAATGTGGTTTTTAAGAAGGCTGAACCAAAGGTTATCCACAAAAAGCTTCACACCTAAATTTGAGCACAGGAGACATGGAAAAGTGGGACTGAATGCTACCTGACAATTTTCAAGGGGGTAAAATTGGGGGAACCATTACTTCACATTACTATTGAGCTCCTCTCAGAAACCCCATTGGTGACCACACTTTTCTCACCTCAAAACCCCTCTGATGTTACATTACTTGGTGATGTAGTGTCACAGTGATGGAGGCTTCTGGGGGCAAAAAGGGGTGCAGCCATTTTGTTACAAGAGTCCCCACCAGATCATTACTTTGTCATGATGTAGCATAGTTCCTGGGAGGGGGAAGGCAAAGAATATCTCAGTACTGAACATCATCATCATCATCATTATTATTATTATTATTATTATTATTATTATTATTATTATTTATATCCTGCCCATCTGGCTGGGTTTCCCCATCCACTCTTGGTGGCTTCCAACAAAACACTAAAATACAATAACCTATTAAACATTAAAAACTTCCCTAAACAGGGCTGCCTTCAGATGTCTTCTAAAAGTCAGATAGTTGTTTATTTCCTTGACATCTGACAGGAGGGCGTTCCACAGGGCGGGCGCCACCACCAAGAAGGCCCTCTGCCTGATTCCCTGTAACTTGGCTTCTCACAGCAAGGGAGAAGGCCCTCAGCGCTGGACCTCAGTGTCCAGGCAGAACGATGGAGGTGGATACACTCCTTCAGGTATACTGGGCCGAGGCCGTTTAGGGCTTTAAAGGCACCAGCACTTTGAATTGTGCTCGGAAACGTACTGGGAGCCAGTGTAGGTCTTTCAAGACTGATGTTATATGGTCTCGGCAGCCGCTCACAGTCACTAGTCTAGCTGCCGCATTCTGGATTAGTTGTAGTTTCACCTTTGTAGGTCACCTTCAAAGGTTGCCCCATGTAGAGCGCATTGCAGTAGTCCAAGCGAGAGATAACCAGAGCATGCACCACTCTGGCAAGACAGTCCACGGGCAGGTAAGGTCTCAGCCTGCATACCAGATGGAGCTGATAAACAGCTGTCCTGGACACAGAATTGACCTGTGCCTCCATGGACAACTGTAAGTCCAAAATGACTCCCAGGCTGTGCACCTGGTCCTTCAGGGGCACAGTTACCCCATTCAGGACCAGGGAATCCTCAAAACCTGCCCGCCTCCTGTCCCCCCAAAACAGTACTTCTGTCTTGTCAGGATTCAACCTCAATCTGTTAGCCTCCAACCACCTTCAGACACTCACACAGGACCTTCACCGCCTTCACTGGTTTCAATTTGAAAGAGAGGTAGAGCTGGGTATCATCCGCATACTGATGAACACCCAGCCCAAACCCCCTGATGATCTCTCCCAGCGGCTGCATGTAGATGTTGAAAAGCATGGGGGAGAGGACAGAACCCTGAGGCACCCCACAAGTGAGAGCCATGGGGTCTGAACACTCATCCCCCACCACCACTTTCTGAACACGGCCCAGGAGGAAGGAGCGGAACCACTGTATGACAGTGCCCCCAGCTCCCAGCCCCTCAAGACGGTCCAGAAGGATGTTATGGTCGATGGTATCAAACGCCGCTGTGAGATCCAGCAGAACTAGGAAACAGCTCTCACCTTTGTCCCTAGCCCGCCGGAGATTATCGACCAGTGCGACCAAGGCAGTTTCAGTCCCATGATGAGGCCTGAATCCCGACTGGAAGGGATCCAAATGGTCCGCTTCTTCCAGGCATGCCTGGAGTTGTTCAGCAACCACTCACTCAATCACCTTGCCCAAGAATGGAAGATTAGAGACTGGGCGATAGTTGGCCAAATTGGCAGCATCTAAAGATGGTTTTTTAAGAAGCGGTTTGATAGCCGCCTCTTTCAGCGGGTCTGGGAAGGCTCCCTCACAGAGAGAAGCATTCACCACCCATGAAGCCCATCACCCAGCCCTTCCCAGCTAACTTTTATAAGCCAGTATGGGCAAGGATCAAGGAGACAGGTGGTTGGTTTCACTCGTCCAAGCAGCCTGTCCACATCCTCGGAGGTAACAGATTGGAATTGATCCCACGCAACTTGACTAGACAGGACTCCAGCACTCTCCCTCCCCAGCCCTGCTCCCACGGTGGAGTCTACCTCTTCCCGAATCTGAGTAACTTTATCCACAAAAAACTTTGCAAAATCATTGTAGGAGATCATGTGGCCCGTACTAGGCCCCAATGTAGCAGGTGGTTCCACTAAATTGTGAACCACCTGAAAGAGTCTCCTGCTGCTGTTTTCTGCAGATGGAATAGAGGCGGTGAAGAAAGTATTCCTACCCGTGATCACTGAGATTGGTTGTCCCAGTGCATCCCCCCTGTGGAACATGCCCCAGCCATTTTGCTGGCTGGGACCCACTCCCCGGCAGCCCTCCCCTTAAGAACAAAATAAAACTCTTTTTAAAAAAAACACAATAAAACAATACTAACAAAAAACTGTAAAAATTACAAACACATCAAAATCAAACAAATTCCCAAGCCCAACCAAACATCCATCCCACCCACCCCACCCAAAAAAAAAAAAATCAAAAGGGAAAAAGAAAATTTCAAAACATTTTGAAAAGAACTCTGTGCCCCTCCAAGTCCTCCTGGACAGCAGCAGCAGTAGCAGCAACCGTCCTTATGAGGCCTGTCAGGCCCCGCCCTGGGCCAAGTGGTGAGTGGCAGGAGCGGGGCCCTTAGGCACTCACGCAGGAGTCCTTCCTATGCACTGAAGATTGCTGTCCATTGGGATTTGTGGGGTGGAAGGAGGAGAGGCCAACAGGATGTGGAGCCAGAGCCAATGACAGGCAGAACCAATTAATAGTTTTGTCCCAGTCTTCCTCCCTACTGCTGAGATGTAAAAGGGGCAATACTGAGATCAAGGAGGATGGAGCTGGCAGACAAGGCAAGCCCCTTGACTACTTGTAAGTAGGAAGGAAGGCAGGTGGGGCTGGCTGAGGGCAGGCTGAGGTTGGTGGGGCAGTTCCCCCTGCCCCCCAGTGGGCCAGCCTCCACTCTTCCTATCAGTAGTCATCAAGACCAAATCTGGTAACCATTTGGCAGGAACACAAATGATCAGAGTTGCCTATATTCTGTATGTACTCCAGGTATGCTAGCTTTCCATGTATGGAAATGAGGACCTGGTGCTCAATTTGCCATCCCAATGGCCTCTGATTCTCATCTCTTTTGAAATAAAGACAGTGTCTAACATGTGGGGTGGGAAAGTGTGAAGGCATATAGGAACATAAAAATAAACAATGCAAAGAAGATGCAAATAGACTTAAATAATTTATTCTGGGCACCAGATTTGGTAAATTGGGGAGATGGTGCAGTATACAGAAGCCCCCAGCAGTTGCCAAGGCTATTAACACTGATACTGTCCGTTTCTTAGACTGTACCTCCCAAAAGAAGTTTGCATCCAATCATCCTATATAAGCCAAGTGCACTGAATATGCTATTGCTACTTAACATATTTTAATAGATTGCCAACATAAAAAAAACTTTTTTTGCAAGTCCACAAGTGCAGGTCAAGCAAAATCTTTAGAAACAGCCTCTACAAAATTGGGGGCCGACATTAAGATGCCAATGGTACAAATTATTGTGAAGACCGAAAAAGCCATCAAACAGAGGCGGTCCACAACAGAAGCAGCAAACTTCCATTCATTGCAAATGGCTTCTGCCTCATCCTGGTCTCGGAACCGGTTGGCAATATATCGGACCTCCTCTAGGATCTTTGCCAGTTCTGGGTCAGTTTCAGACGGATGTCCACTGTGAAGGAGGTTGTCTTCGTCAGTCGGGGAGCAAGTCATTCTCCCACAGATCACACCGGAATCAGTGGTAGGGGTGCAATGGACACCTTCCAGGCCTCTGAAGCCTATGTAGAGCATATTCCCATTACTGGATTGCTGCCCACTCACAGTGTTTACATCTATGCTGGACATACTGCATCGACGCTGTTTATGCTGGCATGCTGGTCGCACTTTGTCCTCCCCTGGTCTTTTCATTCTCAGGAACCAGGCACACCAGTTGAGAAGGATGATTCTGGTCTGGGAAACATGTATAAAAACACACCATAGCTATTATATCTTGGAAGATATCTGGCCCCTTGCATGTTACTTGCTTGTCTAGCAATGGCAAGGTCATTGACCAATGAGCCCTGTGCCTGCACTCCACTCTGGTTCATACATTCAGTTGGGGGCTAGCACTACAAGAGTGTGGAGGAGGAGCAGTCTTTAAAGGGGAGCCCAAAGCACAGTGGAAGAGCACATTCTTAGCATGCAGGAGGTGCCAGGTTCAATGCCTAGAATATCCAGCCGAAACAGGGATGGGCGCCTGTGGCTTTCCAGATGTTGCTAGATAACTTTAGGAAGAAAGTCAGTGCTGTTGGACTATGAAATGGACTACTGTAGAAGGTGGTGGACCCTCCTTCACTGGAAGTTTTTAAATGGAGGTTGTATGGCCATCTGCCAGGGATTCTTTAGCAGTGATTCTTCATTGCAGGACATTGGGCTGGATGACCCCTGGGGTCCCTACCAACTCTACAGTTCTATGATTCTTTCCATTCCCTACCTGTGACCCTCCAGATGTTATTTGACTCCTGCTTCCATCAGCCAACATGGCCAATGGTAAGAGATGATGGGAGTTTTAGTTCAGCAACATCTGGAGGGCCACATGTGCTAGTTACATGACTAGCCAGTCACATGAAGGCCAGCTTACACAATTCTCCCCTCAAAAGAGTAAGGGAAAGATCATATTAATTAGGTACACACTTGGATGGCCCAGATTGTACTGGATGCTACAAAAAGGCTCCTGTTGCTTCTCTACTTCTTCTACTGCCAAACTGTCCTAGCTGAATGTATGAGCAGGGCTGGCCCACCCATGAGGCAAGATGAGGCAACCGCCTCAGGCAGCAGGATCCACGGGGGCAGCAGATTCCAATTTAGATATTTCTCTCCCCTCCCCGCCCCGTTCCTGATGTAGTTCTTCCCTCACCCTTTCTTCCCTAGTGAGGAGAGGGGCTCCATTTTGGGGTCCACCTCAGGGGCCAAAATGTTTTTGGCTGGCCCTGTGTATGAGCCAGGGTCTTGTGAAATCAAACCTCCCCATTGGCTTCTGAGCCACACATGTGCAAAGTGTCTTCCAGATAAACTACTTTACAAAAACCTTTTTGTTCAGTTACAGATAGGTAGCCGTGTTGGTCTGCCATAGTCAAAACAAAAAAAATTCCTTCCAGTAGTATTCCTTCCTGAAGTATCTGAAGAAGTGTGCATGCACACGAAAGCTCATACTGTACCAAGAACTAACTTAGTTGGTCTTTAAGGTGCTACTGGAAGGAATTTTTTTTCTTTTTGTTCAGATCTCTCTCTCTCTCTCTCTCTTAAGACAATAATGTCTAGGCTTTACAATTTGCCCAGTTTCCTCCTGTTTTCATCTCAAACTCTCCAAAATCAAAATACTGTTTTCAATCAAATTTAACACACTATTTTTAATCATCTTCAGTTTTGCATTTTTTATTGACAGTTCAAACTCTCTCGGTGCAGGAATGTTTGAGAGCTATTCTTAAACCAGATGTTGGGGATATATATATCACCTAATGCAAAAAAAAAGATCTCACAGAAACTCATAAACCACTTTTGAATATCCTGTCTTCATCCTCTCTACTGTTTGTTTGTTAAGAAACTACCTGGTGATTAGCGAAATCAATGGTCCATCTTGCCTAGCACACTCAGCCCTGACTGGTAATAGCTCACAAAGGTCTCAAGCAGAAGTCCTGAGATCATTTTTATGGGAGGGCATCATGATGGACCTTGATGCCTTATTCCATACAGCCTAACATACTGCCTTTCATTTGACAACATAGAAGGAGTATGTATTTAAACATAGTGAAGTCTGAAGACACAAATGCATACATATGTTTGTTTGGGATGAGTAGAATCTGCTCCAATGGCTGAGATCTGACTGCAGTTTGAAGCACCTCCAGCCACTTCATAAGTAAAGATTTTTAGAAATGTTTTTTGAAGTTAGAAGGATAGGAGACCAGGGACCAGGCAGAAAAATCCAAGGTTCAGGTCCCCTGAGCCACTCACTAGCAATGCTCCTGACCTGTTGCCTCCAGAACTCCACCTCCCATCATCCTTGACCATTGGCCATGGTGGCTGAAGGGCCAATGAACTATGCTTGCAAAGACATATGTGTTATCAAACCATTTCCGTTTGCTGCCTCATCCAACTAATATATGGGGAACAAGAATGACTTGCCTGCTCCTGTAGCAGAACTGTGATCTGCAGGGTTTCAGTTATATAGAGACAGGGAGGGGAAAATATGCATCATCTGGGCTCTTACCCACTTGGGCATTTTCCCCCCATCTGGATCATGGTGGTGATACTGCAAAACGATCACGGTAACCACAACTGAAAGTCCGACAATAATCATGGTGCTTGCAAAATACTGTGCTGCAAATGGAGAGGAGAAGAAGATGAAGAGGAGGAGGAGGAGGAGGAGGAAATAATGACCAGGTTATGGGGAGAATTTAGGCTGCAATGCCACTTCAAATAGCTGTCATTCACCTAATAGTCTAACATTGTAGTCCAAACACTGTTGGACTACAACACCCACCCATTCCTGGCCATTGGCCATGCTGGCTGCGGACTGATGGAAGCTTGAGTCTAAGGACAGTCTGGAAAGCCATGGGAGAGAGGACAGTGCAGTTGGTACAGCATGAGACTTAATCTCAGGATCATGGGTTTGAGCCCTACATTGGGGAGATTCCTGCATGGCAGGGAGTTGAACTAGATGACCCTTGTAGTCCCTTCCAACTCCACAGATATTGGATAGCCCTACATCCTGGATCCAAAGGATGGAGTGCACAGAGCCCCCTGTGGATATGGGCATTTTATTCTATCCTGCCAGAAAGTAAGCACAGGATGAGTGCAAGACAGGAAATACTTCTGCACATGTCCAGTATTTAATTCCTTTTATTTATTCATTGCATTTATACCTCACCTCTCCTCCAAGGAGCCCAAGGTGGTGTCTCTGGTTCTCCCCTTCTCCATTTTATCCTCACAACAAATCTGTGAGTTGGGTTAGACTGAGAGGCAGTGACCCAAGGTCACCCAATGCGGATTTGAACGCTGGTGTAACCACACTGACTCTCTTTTTATAGAATGAATGAAGAGATTAGAAGCCCCTACATGTTGGAGGCTCTGGGTCATGGCAGTAGAATTAACCACTTAATTGGCTACCAGCACCACAGCATAAACCTTTTACTTTTAAGCATTGTAATTTCTTTCCTCACCGAATATTTGCCAACTGTGCAATTTCCTACCCCCAAACCATAAGCCAAGACTTCTAAACCAGTAAATCTACTGAACACACACAATTCCTGATCTATATTATTGTGGCCTTGTTGCAACTTTGAATATAAAATTGCTCACTGAACATTAATACTGCTGTTACTCACCTATTAATGGCACTGAATCAGATGTCGCTGGCATAATTTCGGCCACCAGGAGCATAAACACTGTGAGGGAGAGTAAAACGGTGATTCCTGAAAGGCAAAGTATTGGTATGGAATCAGGACATAAAGGCACTCTCGGGGTTGAGGAAAAGAAGAATGAAATTATTAAGAGGCTCACATACTAATGAAAATATGTATTTCTTCCCCTACAAGGAAAGGTTGCAGAGCTAGGGGCTTTTTTATTTAGAAAAAAAGGCAAGTAAGAGGTGACATGATAGAAGTTTATAAAATTATTCATGATATATAGAGAGAAGATAAAGAAAAGCCTCACCCTCTCATATAACACTAGGACACGTGGGTGAGATCCTGTGGTCAGAAATAGTCAAAGAGAAGGGAATCCAAGAAGGATGGGAGTTTCTACAAGGAGAAATATTGAAGGCAGACAATTCCAAAGGCAGACAATTCCAACAAGAATGTGTAAGAAATGGAAGAAAGGGGAAATCACAAAAGAGGAGTAGACACAACTAGCCAACAGTTGCAAAGTGAAGGTCAGGCTGGCTAAAGCTCAGAATGAGCTTGCAAGAGAGGTTTAAAATAATTTAAAAGGTTTCTGTGGCTATGTTTGAACCAAGAGGAAGAACAAGCAAGTTGTAGGTCCTCTGTATGGAGAAGATGGAGAAACGCTATTGGGGGACAGAGGGGAGGCGGAACTGCTCAGCACCTGCTTTGCCTCTGTCTTCACCCAAAAGGAAAGTGATGCCCACCCTGGTGATAAGAGAATAAACGGTGTAAGGAGGGAGCTGCAGCGCAAGATAGGAAAAGAGGTGGTAAGAGAGCACTCAGCTACTTTAAATAAATTCAGATCTCCAGGACCTGATGAACTTGATCAACCTGATGAAGGAGCTTGCGGGTGTAATCTCAGAGCCTTTGTCTATGACCTTTGAGAATTCTTAGAGAACAGGTGAGGTCCCTGCAGACTGGAGGCGGACAAATGTCCCCAACTTCAAAAGGCGGGAGGCAGAAAAACCAGGTAACTACTGACCGGTGAGCTTGACATCAATACCATAAAATGTCCTAGAACACATAATTCAACAGTCAATCTGTAAGCATTGCTGTGGTGGCTGTGGATGACTAAGGATGCTGTGATGACTAAGACCCAGCATGGGTTTCTCAAAAACAAGTCATGTCAGATGAATCTCATTCCTTTTTTTGATAGAGTTACAAGTTGGGTGGATATGGGGAATGCTGTGGACATGGTGTATCTTAACTTCAGTAAGGCTTTTGACAAAGTCCCCCCTGAGGAAGCTAGTAAAATGTAGGTTGAACGAGGTAACTTTTAGGTGGATTTGTAGCTGGATGACTGACTGAACCCAAAGAGTACTCATTAATGGTTCCTCACCATCCTGGGGAAAAGTGACAAGTGGGGTGCTGCATGGTGGTGTCCTGGGCACGTTGTTGTTCAATGTGTTTATTAAAAAGACTTGGACAAAGGAATTAAGGGAATGCTCATGAAATTTGCAGATGACACCAAACTGGGAGGGGTAGCTAATAATGCAGAAGACAGAATCGGGATTCAAAATGACCTTAACAGATTGGAGAACTGGGCACAAGTTAACAAAATGAATTTCAATAGGGACAAATGTACAGTTCTGCATTTAGGCAGGAAGAACCAGATGCATAAATATAAGATGGGGGACTCCTGGCTTGCCAGTGGTACATTTGAAAAGGATCTAGGGGTCTTAGTGGACCACAAGCTGAACATGAGTCAACGGTGTCATGCAGCAGCAAAAAAAATTCCAATGCTATTCTAGGCTGCATCAACAAAAGCCTAGTGTCCAGATCAAGGGAAGTAATAGTACCACTTTCTTCTAACTTGGTCAGACCACATCTGGAATACTGTGTCCAATTCTGGGCATGCACCACAATTTAAGAAGGATGTTGACAAGCTGAAATGTGTGCAGAGGAGGGCAACCAAAATGATCAAGGGTCTACAAACCAAGCCTTACGAGGAGTGCTTGAAGGAGCTGGGTATGTTTAGCCTGGAAAAGAGGAGAATAAGAGAGATATGACAGCCATCTTCCAATATCTCAAGGGCTGTCACATGGAAGAGGGAACAAGCTGTTTTCTCCTGCTCTGGAAGGCAGGACTTTCTGACAGTAAGAGTTGTTCAGCAGTGGAACAGACTCCCACAAGTGGTGGTGGACTCTCCTTTCTTGGAGGTTTTTAAGCAGAGGTTGGATGATCATCTGTCATGGGTGCTTTAGCTGAGATTCCTGCATTGCAGGGGTTGGATTGGATGACCCTTGAGGTTCCTTCCAACTCTACGATTTTATGATTCTATGAGTTGTTGGAGGCTGAAGGGGCAACAGGATTTGGTGAGCAAGGAGAGCCTGTGACAGAGAGCAGTTCTGACTCAGAGGCTGAAGCAGAGGTGGGGGTGGGGCACAGGCTGCAGAAGAATACAGATTGTCCTACTGTGACAAGCTCCCCTCCCCACTTGTCTCCAAGGACACACAGAGTGATGCACAGAGTGGAACAGAGATTGGAGATGCCCTGTTGAAGTTTGAGACTGCTTGGGAAACTTCTGGCAAAGTAGGAGGCTTGGAGGTGGGTGAAGGTGGGGAACCTCAGTCCTGGCAACTGCTCTACTGGGGCAATACTTGCTGGGATGTATTGTTGAGTTGTATGCCATTTCTTTGAATAAAGAGTTAGCTTCTTGGAGAAACTCTTGTTTCTTGCTTGCTGACCTGCATCTGACTCCAGTCCTGACAGCAGGCTTCCTTTGTTTCCTATATGTGCAGCCTTAATTGCATTACTACTACTACTACTACTACTACTACTACTACTACCACTCTTAAAGAAAACTTCATTAGATCCCTTAGACCTATCCAATTACCGCCCAGTTTCAAATCTTCCATATATGGGTAAGGTAATTGAGAGAGCGGTTGCTGAACAGCTTGGTAGGTTTCTGGAGGAAACATCGGCTTTAGATCCATTTCAGTCTGGTTTCCGTCCTGGTTTTGGGACCAAGACAGCTCTGGTTGCCCTAACAGATGATTTCCGTAGACAACTGGATCGAGGCGGGTCAGGACTGCTGATCCTTTTAGATTTGTCAGCGGCCTTTGACATGGTCGATCATGATCTTCTGGACCACCGCCTCGCAGACGTGGGGATACAGGGCATAGCCCGTAACTGGCTGTGCTCTTTTATCTCTGGTCAGGGACAGAGGGTGGCACTAGGGAGGGAAAATGTTGTCGCGCCACTCCTTGGTGTGTGGAGTGCCGCAGGGCGCAATTCTCTCCCCGATGCTTTTTAACATCTTTATGCGCCCCCTTGCCCAGATTATCCGGAGCTTTGGGCTGGGCTGTCACCAATATGCTGATGACACTCAGCTCTATCTGCTGATGGATGGCCACACCGACTCAGCACCGAACACACTGACCAGATGCTTGGAAGCTGTGGCTGGATGGTTTTGTGGGAGCCTATTGAAACTAAATCCTTCGAAGACAGAGGTCCTATGGCTGGGTCGGGATGGCATGGGGATGAAGGACCAACTCCCTTCTCTTGCGGGGGCCCAATTAGTGCCATTGCCTTCCGTTAAGAGTTTGGGTGTAATCCTTGATGCCTCCCTTTCCATGGAGGCGCAAGTTACAGCAACAGCCAAGGCAACATTTTTCCACCTTCGCCGCATCAAGCAGTTGGTCCCTTACCTTTCCCACCCCGACCTGGCCACAGTGATCCATGCGATGGTCATCTCCAGGCTTGACTACTGTAATTCGCTCTACGCGGGGCTGCCCTTGAAGCTGTCCCAGAAACTCCAGCGGGTGCAGAATGCTGCAGCGAGGCTCCTCACGGGGTCCCTGCCATGGGAGCATATTCACCCAGTGCTTTTCCAGCTGCACTGGCTCCCAGTGGAGTACAGGGTCAGATTTAAAGTGCTGGTTTTGACCTTTAAAGCCCTTCACGGCCTAGGACCCTTGTGCCTCTCCCGGTATGCCCCACGGTCCATAAATAGTAACACCCTAGTGGTCCCGGGCCCTAAGGAAGTTAGATTGGCTTCAACCAGAGCCAGGGCCTTTTCAACTCTGGCTCCGGCCTGGTGGAACGCTCTGCCTCATGAGACCAGGGCCCTGCAGGATCTGATTTCTTTCCGCAGGGCCTGTAAGACAAGAGTTGTTCCACCTGGCCTTTGGCTTGGAGCCAATTTGATTCCCTCCCTCTCTTTCTTTTTTTCTTTCCTTCTCCTCCTGCGTTGAGGCTACATTTTATTTTAATAATGTAATATTTTAATGTTGTATTTTAATTTTGTTTTTAAGTTGTAATCATTCAACTTGTTTTTATTATTGCTTGTAAGCCGCTCTGAGCCCGGCCTTGGCTGGGGAGGGCGGGGTATAAATAAAAAATTTATTATTATTATTATTATTATTATTATTATCATATTCATTATTGACTTGGAAAGAGCCCAGAATGTTTCTCCTCCCTTCCTCCCTTCTGTGTATTTTTGTAGGGTTGTGAATTGTGACCTTTGGCACTTTTTTTCATTGCTCATCACTTGCACAGGGAAAGATGCCAATGTGAGCCATCTTTTGCAGATGCGTCCTTTCCCAATAATAGCAAACAAAGCAAGAACAAAAGTTTAACCCTGAACAAATGCCCATTGTTGTTGTTGTTTAGTTGTTTAGTCGTGTCCGACTCTTCGTGACCCCATGGACCAGAGCACACCAGGCAATATACTGTGCACTAATGCTTCAATTTAATTTAAATGCGTTTCGTAAATTCCCAGAATGAAATTCTCAAGAGTGTAAGTATAAACAAAAGCAGTCAAATTAATTTGTTGTTTAGTCGTTTAGTCGTGTCCGACTCTTCGTGACCCCATGGACCAGAGCACGCCAGGCACTTCTGTCTTCCACCGCCTCCCGCAGTCTGGTAAAACTCATGCTAGTAGCTTCGAGAACACTGTCCAACCATCTTGTCCTCTTTTGTCCCCTTCTCCTTGTGCCCTCCATCTTTCCCAACTTCAGGGTCTTTTCCAGGGAGTCTTCTCTTCTCATGAGGTGGCCAAAGTATTGGAGCCTCAGCTTCAGGATCTGTCCTTCCAATGAGCGCTCAGGGCTGATTTCCTTCAGAATGGATAGGTTTGATCTTCTTGCAGTCCATGGGACTCTCAAGAGTCTCCTCCAGCACCATAACTCAAAAGCATCAATTCTTCGGCGACCAGCCTTCTTTATGATCCAGCTCTCACTTCCATACATCACTACTGGGAAAACCATAGCTTTAACTTTACAGACCTTTGTTGGCAAGGTGATGTCTCTGCTTTTTAAGATGCTGTCTAGGTTTGTCATTGCTTTTCTCCCAAGAAGCAGGCGTCTTTTAATTTTGTGGCTGCTGTCACCATCTGCAGTGATCATGGAGCCCAAGAAAGTAAAATCTCTCACTGCCTCCATTTCTTCCTCTTCTATTTGCCAGGAGGTGATGGGACCAGTGGCCATGATCTTCGTTTTTTTGATGTTGAGCTTCAGACCATATTTTGCGCTCTCCTCTTTCACCCTCATTAATAGGTTCTTTAATTCCTCCTCACTTTCTGCCATCAAGGTTGTGTCATCTGCATATCTGAGGTTGTTAATATTTCTTCCAGCAATCTTAATTCCGGCTTGGGATTCAGTACTTTTATTTTTTTACAGAATAACTGTTTCTCTACAATATATTTTTGAAAGTTATTTGTTCACTATGGATTTGGACACTTCTTAAAAAACCAGAAGCAAATTTTACATGATTGTTTTTGAGATCAAGAAGCAGGCTTTCTTCTATGTTGGGATACGGTTGGATGCCATTTTGAACCAAGATGATGGACTGGGGCTGTGTATACACCATACATTTTAAGCACAACTCCTCCCCCCCCCAAAAAAAAAAATCCCTGGAAACTATAGTTTACCCCTCACAGAGCTTGAAATCCCAAACTACAGCTCCCAGGATTCTTTTGGGGATGTCATGTGCTTTCATGGTATGTACACAGTTTGATCCTTTCAAAACCTGCAATTTTTGAGGGGGCGGGGAGGCTGCTGTTCTTTTCCTACATCTATATTTTCCTGGGTTCATTGCTGTTGCAAGAAGTACCTGTGGGGCACTGAGAGCCTGGGATTGTTTATTTGTTTGCTTTTTTCTTAAATTCAGCCACAGTAGACTTTTTAAAAAAGAATTAAAGCTTCATGTAAGTTATATAGAGAGAGATAATATAGATATATAGATAGATATAGATATAGATACAGATATAGATATAGATATAGATATAGATATCTTCCATTGCTTTGCTATAATCACGGTGGTGATGATGATGATCATGATAAAAAATCCACACGAAGAGCTCTTGTGAACTCCACAAGGAGAATTCTAGACAATTGAAAGGCCTATATCAGAGGCCTGTGGTCTTTGGAGGACAATTACAAGGCCTCTACAATCCATCATAGAGATGTAGAGTGGGAAGGTATCCCAAGGGTAATGCACTTCAACCCCCTGCAATGCAGAAATAATTATAACCAAAGAACCAAATCTCTTCCCATCTGAAAGTTATTCCTATTGTTGAGCCCAAACCTCCTTTCTTGTAATCCATTGGTTCAAGTTTTGCCCTTTGAAGCAGCAAAAAATAAGCTTGCTACATCTTCCATATGGCAGCCCTTCAGATATTTCAAGATAGTTCACCTCTCAGTCTTCTCTTCTTCATGCTAAACATACCCCGCTCCCTTAATCATTTCTCATAAGGTTTGGTTTCCAGACCCTTGATCATCTTGGTCATCATGCTCTGCACACCTTCCAGCTTGTCAATACCTTTCTTTAACTGTGCACGCACAGCTGCCAGGGAATTTTGAGGAGGTCCCTTCCTTGAAAAAAATTGGGGGGCCCAATGGCACACCTGCCCACACCCACACAGCCCTCTCACACCTTCCCCTAATTCAAGGCGGTTGCAGTATCTTGACTTCTCCTGTGGTGGGACTGAGTGGCTGTGCAAAGAACAAACAGCAGCACCATGTTTCTGGGTCAGAGGGGGCAGGTGGTGGAGGTACGGGGTGCTGCTATTGCCTGGGTTTAGGGTTAACAAGGCATGGAATGGGGTGCAGCCAACATCATCCTAGGAGAAGGAGGGGAGACACTTTATGTCTGCTGTCCCTACTCAGCCACACATCCCAATACATTAGCAGAAAAATAGTACAATATCCCTCATGAGGGTGGGGATACTTGAAAAATGTCTAGCCAAAATTCATGCAACAAATGGATGAATTTAAAATCTGCATTAGAACTACAGACACATTTCCTTCTTTTTAAAAAATGCAAACTGGTGCAGAAATGTAGTGAACTGAACTTCAGAATGGTGTGGGGGGAAGAAAGAGAAAGAAATTGCATTTGACAGATTCATCCATCCCATTTCTTGGGCACATATACAGTCTGCACTGCAGTATCCCTCCTTCTGTGATTGTGCCATGAATAGGTTCTGTCCCCTTTTCATTCATCTTCCTTCTCTCTCTATCCCTGGGCCATGCATTCTGTGACTTCTTGAGAGTTTCCACTTGTAACTACTTTCTCCTTGCCAGAAACTGACTGTGACATTTAAGCTGAAAATGCATGCAAAATAGCTTTGCTTATAAACAAATAGAATAATATGTTTACCGAGTGAAATCTTCTCCCCAGAGTCGGCTGGAAGCAGGAAAACGAGAAGGGCAAGAGCTGAGATCAGCACACAGGGGATGAGAAGATTGAGCCCATAATACAGAGTCCTCCGTCGCATCGTCACCGTAAAGGTCACATCTGGATAAGGCTCTTTGCAACAGTCATAGAAAGATTCGGTTCTTTTCCCGGGAACACCTGTGGGGGTGGGACAAAAGGTCTCCTGTGAATTTCACCAAAGCAATTACTAAGAAAAGTCTCCCAGGGTTATTGCTGAGAGCAGATGTGGGCACCTCATGGCTCCCAGGCCATCTGTGGCCCTGGCAGAACTTCACTGAAGCCCACATGGATCCTCCAGCCGCCCCTCTGTTACCACCAACATCACTACCTGCTTCCAAAGGTTGCTGCCTCCCCATTCAGGGAGCTTAGCAAAGGACAGCAACTGATACAAATAAATGATTATCTGTCATCAGATTATCTGTCGTTCTCCAGCCTACCTGCTTTGGTTGTGTGATACTGGCACCCTGTCTGGTAGCAGCATGATTGTGATGGGGATGACAGTGTGTGTCAGGAGAGTCATCCCATGTGCTTCCCCCCACATGTAAAACTGCTCTGCCTCCCATCACTCCACCAAGCAGAGGTTTAGCAGCTGAGGGAGCACATCTGTAAGGGGGAAGATAAGGCTAGCAGTGACTACTAGCCATGATGACTATGTTCTGCTTCCACTATTGTCGGTGGCAGGCCTCTGAACACCAGTAACTGTAAATCACAAGTAGGAAGAATGCTGTTGCCTTCATGCCCTGCTTGTCTGGCATCTAGTTGGCCACTGTGAGAACAGGATGCTGGACTAGATGGACCATTCAGCAGGGTTCTTCATATGTTCTTAGGATGATGCAGAGGTAGCAGGGCTCCCTGCATATCTCCTTCGTGTGTGTGTGTGTGTGTATGTGTGTGTGTGTGTGTGTGAACCCAGGTCCCACTCACTGCTGACTCCAATCATAGCACCCCTGATCACTCAGCCACTACCTAGTAGCAAAAAAATGTTACTCCTTCCTGGTCAAAATACTCTTGAGGTATCCGCCTTTCTGAAGCTAAGCAAATCTAGCTCTGGTCAGTGGTTGGTGGAGGAAACTGCCTGGATTTTGTCAAGCTTTGCTGCCGCTATGTGTAGGCCATCCCTTGGTAGAAGAGGCTTCTTTGTTCTGTTTTAATTTGTTTTGCTAACACAACAGGCAGTGCTGCTTGTAATGGAACAATTCCACTTTCGCTGTCCTAACCACCATATTGTTAACCCCCAAATGACCAAGATTTGTCCTGAGACGTATTGGGGAAGGCAAACTTTTGTGGCCATCAGTGGAGGGTGATCACCCAGATGTTACTCCGACTTGTAGCCTCAATGGCTTACGAGACAGGGCATCAGTATGAACAGTGGGCTCCTCTTCCTCACCCTGGTAACTCACTCTCTTTCCTCAGAGTTAGAAACACCTGGGAGATGTACTTCTACAATTCTACAAGAGACTTCTCAGCACCCGCACCAGTCTACGGTTCCCAGGTTTCCTTGGGGGAAGGCCATGGTCTGTTAGCCTCATTCTGGGTGTGACCTGCACACAAGGTGACCAGAAGCCAAGAAAACAAGAGGGAGGTAGAATTACATCTCCTTGGCAGTACACTTCTAAGGTCTTGCAGAATAGGGATCCCCCTGTGAGATCTCATGAGGAAAGGGAAGGCTGTTTTGCCATGAGAATTACAATTTCACTGGGTCTTCTAGGCCACTGGTTGACAGGGCTGGAAAGGATTTCCCCCTCCCAATCTCAGTTGGCCCCCTGGTTGGGATGGGGGTCACCTTTCCCCAAGTGGACTTATGTTTAGCATTGAATGAATTCTGTATAATTTGGGCAAGAATAGCATTGGAAAGGTGGGCGCCCATAAGGGGCCTGAGGGGAGTGCTGGCTGAGGGATGCCCTAAGCTCATGCTGGGGCCTCTGCCTGACTGGAATCTCTGTCTCTGGATGCCCAGTGAGAACCTGGATGCTTGGCTTACACCTCAACAGGGTTCAATGCTGTGTGATTCCCATGGAGCGAGGCTGGGCACTTCCCCAACCCAGTAAGGTGCCTTTGCAATGGCAGGGGCTGAGGGGAAGGAGGAAGTGATGCTTACCCTACTGCCATGCCAACTCTGCTTACCTTCTGTATTCAAAAAAGATCGGGCCTGATTTCACCCAACACCTGTGCCCTTTCTCAGTTATTACATCACTCTCCCTGGGCTGCAGTTTGCATCTACCTGGGCAATGCAAACTCCAGATGTGTGTGGTGTGTGGTGCAGAGCAGCATGTTCAAACTGTTTAGCCTGTTTTGAAGACTTGTATAATGCAAGGGGCTAAATTCATCTTCAGGCTTATGAGAATTAAACACTGATAATGCAGGCAATGTATAAGAGCATTAACTGAGATTCTGCTTATCCTTTAGGTGCTTTAGAGAAGAAAGGCCCAAATCCCTTAGCCAATTTTTGCAAGTCTTACCCCCAAGCCCTTTCATTCAAACAGAGCTGTAGCTCTGCAGTAGAGCATCTGCTTTGCACGAAGAAGGTCACAGGTTCAATTCCCAGTGGCATCTCCAGGTAGGACTGGGAAATCCCCTCACCTGAAACCCTGGAGAGCAGCTGCCAGTCAGTTTGGGAAACACTGAGATAGATGAACTAAAGGACCAACTCAGTATAAAATAGCTTACTGTGTTTTAGTTTACTTTCCTTTAAACTGTTCTGAATATTTCATTATAAATTGCTACGATACATTCTGGGAACTTATGGTCAAGGGAGAGTAATAAAACAATTAATAAAGTTTCTACTCTGCCAGACTCATGGACATGCCATGAAGCTGAATGTTGGAAGAAGAAGTACTTCTTCATCATGCAGCTCTCTGGACCTTCTTCCCCCAGGAGGCAGTGATGGCCACCAACTTGGATGACTTTAAAAGAGGATTAGATCAATACACAGAAGAGGGCTATCAGCAGCTACTAGCAGGGATGGTTATGCTCTGCCTCCTGTCAAGGGCAGCAATGCTTCTGCATATCAGTTGCTGGAAATCACAGGAGGAGAGAGGGCTCTTGTGGTCAAGTGCTGCTTGACGGTTTCCGACAGACATCTAAGTAAAGAAGAGCCTGGGCAAAGAAAAACATGTTGACATGATACTGGGTGAGATGGGCCATTGACCTGATCCAGCAGGCTCTTCTAAGGTTCTTCCAGCAAAGCACTGGACCACTGAGGGCTAGCATCCTATTTTATTTTTAAATTAAACATGTAGGAGAGAGGACTGGCCCACCCTCGTATTGTTCAAGGAATATTATGATCCTTCCCTAATCCTTGGAGCACTTTCCTGCAATCTGAAAATCCAAGGAACAGAAATGTGTGTGAACATGATGACAATGATCTAACACTACTTGTGTTTCAGATGGAATTGAAGATTGACATAAAAAGGCTCAGCTAAACATTTAAACAGGACCCAAGAGAGTATCCCGATGCCACTGACAAGGTTCATTCTAAGGCACATCAGTTCCATCTCTGGAAGCGAATCTCCCTGACTGAACTGAAGGCAACTGCATTTAGGAATATCCATACAGCTTACCGACTAAATCCCACTCGCCATTTGAAATGTATCCAGATATTTCTGCTTCTTGCATTTGCAAATCCAAAGACCATCCACCGTAAGTCCAGGATCCAAACTTCAATTTACATTTCTGGACATCAAAAGGAAACCAGCGCACATCTATGGAGCAAGAACTCTTGAATATTCCTAGATGGATGTTTCGGATGAAGGGAATATATGTATATATATGAGCAGACATTTCTCAGCAATTCTCTCTCTCCCTTTTGTATAGCTGCTCACAGGAAAATGCCCCCACCCTCTGACATTTAAAACAACTGATCTGCTTGAAAGTGTTTTTCCCCAAAGCTGAATGAAAATAAGGGTATCAAGGTCAGCACCATCGTTATCAAAACAGTGACATTCTGTACTCTCTCATTTGAAGGATTGTTGTTCATTTCGCTTTTATTTCACAAAACAACATTTCCACTTACACCCAGCCACCCACCCACCACTGAATTATTTCATACATAAATGATCAACCTTAGGTATTTCCAAATGTGAACCTCACAGATCCATTGCAGCTGCAGGAACAAAGGCATCACTTCACATGATTATTTGCAGTTGTGACTTATTCACACCTTCAGTGAATTCAACACACTGAAATGATCTTGTGTGAATTGAGACGCCAGAAAAATTCATATGGTTAGAAAATGAACTCTCATAAGATTTATTTATGTATGTTTATTGCCTGTCCATCACTGAATGGCTCATGGAATATCACAATTTAAAACAACATACAAACTGTTCAAACTATTTCATTGAAACTACAAAGCTTGATACCATTGCAAGGGCAACCCAAGCACACCAAGAGGGTAAACATCCACTCACCCAAAGCCCTGGGTAAAGAAAAACACTTTGACATGATGCCAGAAACGGTTCCATGATGGCGCACCTCAGAAGGGAGGGCGTTCCACAATCTGGGGGCCACCACCACCAAGAAAGCATTCTCACTTGTGCTGAAATCTGTCCTCCAATTTCTCAAAAATGTATTCCCCTGAGAAAGAGGCTTCCATTTTCATTATTAAAGAACAGAATATTCTTTCTAGCTTCTTTTGAATACAGTATTGGGGATAATGTTGAATTCATCTGCTCATTGCAGATGAATTCTGTGACCAAGATATTTGCATGTGTGTCTATTTCCAGGAAGCATTTCCATCACACCCATAAAGGAGACCCAAGGCACAATGACTAAAGTGGGGAAAGGTTATATCCATTTAAAACATAGCAATATAGAAGATCTGCAGAAAAAACCCATTCACCAAAATTGAACATAGTCCAAGCAGAAAAGTTCCCTAAGGAGGGAGGAATCATCTCCCTCCCAACTCCTGTGCATGTTTCCAGGTGTCTCATGTGGCCATGCAGCAAGGGCTCAAGCAAATTCTTCCTCCCTGCTGCCAAGACCTTGGGTCTGTTAACCTGACAAGCGCATCATGGCTCTGCTGGCTTATCATTCATCCTGTGCACATGCAAAGCCCACAGGGCATCCCCGATAACCCGCCAAGCAAATTCTGTGCAGGGTGGCCAAATAGTGCCCTCACTGCATAAATGCCTCAGGATTTTAGCCCACTAGATCTTTAATTTCTCTTTCCTACCCAAACCAGACACCAGATGGAAAGAAATTAGATGCCATTCTGAATACATTACTCCCAACTGTATGAAGCAGGCAAAAAGAGGAATTCCAAGGCCAATGAGGAGCTATAAAAAAGAAAATCCTACTCAGTCCCTTTTACGGGTGACTAGCAAAACCCACACTGCATAGGGAGGGAGGGTGCCACAGTGAAGAAGAGGGGGAAGTTTGGGGAAGAACTGGCTTATAAATTCACCCCAGGAGTGCGAGTGGTCTTTCTCCAGCACTTTGCAGCCTCCCTGGCTGTCTAGACTTCCTGATCTGAAAAAGGAGGCACTTCATGATTTGACTGACACATGGGCACCAGGAAGGCTGCATAGAGCTGGCAAAATGATTTGAAGAATGAAAGGAAGGACAGTCACAAACACCTCTTGGCCACCTCAAAAGAAAAAGAAAAACATGACACACACAAACAAAATATTCCACCCAACCCAATCAACTAAATTTTCTCTCTCCTTGCATAATTTTTGAATACAATTTCATTTTTCATTAAATGATGGGGAAAGGGGGGGGGGGATTCAGCACAGCACTACCTTCAATCAAAAGGCAACCACTGATGCTTTGAGTTTTCTCTATCTTGGGTTGCATTTCTTTCTTCTTCCATCCTGACATTACTGAGGTGGTGGCAAAAGCTGTTATGGTTGTATAAGGGACTTCTGTCTGCCTATTGTCTGACTGATTCCTGATCTCCTCTCCTCATCTATGAAAACACACCAGGTTCCCTGCAAAGCAGAATTTTCACATGGCAAAATACCATTCTTACCTGGGGGGAGATACTGGCAGTATCCTGACGAGTTCACCAAAACATTGGTATGAAATGTAGCATCAAAGCGCTCATCGGCACTAAAATGAATAATGAAGAAAAGCAAATTTAGTCCTTCAGTTTAAAAATAAAACATGGTTTACTGCAAGGTGTGAAGCCTGGGTGGTATAGCAGTTTGAGTCTCAGACTAGGAACTTGGAAACCAGGGATCAAATCCTCCCACTTGGCCAGGAAGCTCAATGCCTCTCACCTTTGGGCAGTCATAGAATCATAGGATTGTAGAGTTGGAAGGGATCTCAGGAGTCATCTAGTCCAATGCAGGCAATGGAGGAATTTCAATTAAACCATCCCTGACTTGTGGCCACCCAACCTCTGCTTAAAAACCTCTAAGGAAGGAGAGTCCATCACATTCCAAGGGAGTCCATTCCACTGTCAAACAGCTTACAGCCATAAAGTTTTTCCTTTTTAATTTATTTTTATTGAAACTTTTCAGCATATATTACAATAAAAAACAGACTAGTCTAAATAAAAATGAAAAAAAGAAATAACAAAAAAGAAAAAAATACAAAGCCCTCTGTCAGAGGTAGATCTTAACCCTTGTCTCACACAAAGGGTGTGGCCCCTCCCACCTCTCACCTGGGAGCTTCCCTTTCTTCTCCCACCCTGGGAAATCTTCCCTTCCCTGCCTCTCACCCAACATTCATCACCTTCCTGTGTGTACTCTCCTTAACCCAGAATAGAGGACCTCAAAAAACAAAACATAGGCAAATAGAATGCATAGGAGAAAGAAAAGGCACAAGAAATAAAGAAAAGGGAATAGAAAAGGAAAGCAAGAGAGAAGGAAAATAAATAAAGAGAACTTCCGATTCACCATCTGTCAATTATGTGTGTAAGTTATTCAAAGTTTTCACTCCAGAATGGTTTCCAGCTATATTCCAAGGTAATATCCAGCTGTTCCTCAATCTGCTAGACAGTATTTTCCTAGTCTTCAACCCCATTCATTTTCTTTTCCACACAAAAAGTCCAAAGGGGGCTCTTCAATTGTTATTGTTGCTAAATGTTGAGAATAGTCTTTTTCCAGTCCAATATAATGGCTTTATCTTCAAGGAATTCCAACACCCATTATTAGGATAATAACCAATAGTTATTTATTTGTTGTATATTCATTCATTCATGCCATATATTCCAATCCCATTTCCTGTTGGTCATGATTTCCCATCCTCATTTAGAAAAAAGTTCCTCCCATTTCCTGTTCTTCCATTATTTTTCCAGAATAATTGCCAGAGGCTTGCCAGGTTTTTCCTCTGAAGTTACTTTGAACTTGTACACAGGATCCTTTCTCTCTTGGCTCAGTCTCTGCCATCTCAAGATGTTTCTTACTATCTCTGTCAATAGTTTCATCTCACTCCTCTGGCATCACAACTCTGTCATTTGTCTGTTTCACTCCTCCAGGCAGGTGGAGGTCTTCTCCATTTCATCCTCTGCTACCATTTCACTCTCCTGCCCAGGCAATCTTGATCAGTATTTTTCCCCAAAGGCCCGGTTTATTATTTGGTCTGAGCATTTTACACATCTTAGCTCTGAGCTCTTTCAGTTGCTCATCCTATAATTGTCACATGATACCAACAGTGGGATATTGGGCAATATCTTTGCCATATTGGTCTCCACCTTAACCGTCTCTGCCTTGAAAACTTGTGTCTGTCTCTTTAAGACAGAAGTGGCTTCCCATGCTCAGGAACGTAGCTTCACTTCTGTAGCCAGCATCCCAAAGAAAGGATGGCTTTCAAAGTAATATAAAATAACCATTCTTAATAAGCAGAGAAACCTTATCCATTTGTAATCTTTCTTAATCTCAAATAATTAGATACACTTTCGTATTATTTTTCAGCCTGCTGGTTAATGTTAGTTAATGTATGTTTATGCCAGCATTCAATTTGCTTTCTATGTGAAGTTTAATTGGCAGACAGATTACCCAAATCACAGCTAGTCCCAATTCCAGAAGTCATAGAATCATAGAATCATAGAGTTGGAAGAGACCACAAGGGCCATCGAGTCCAACCCCCTGCCAAGCAGGAAACACCATCAGAGCACTCCTGACATATGGTTGTCAAGCCTCTGCTTAAAGACCTCCAAAGAAGGAGACTCCACCACACTCCTTGGCAGCAAATTCCACTGTCGAACAGCTCTTACTGTCAGGAAGCTCTTACTGTCAGGAAGGTCACGCAGAAGTAGTTAAAACAGGGGAGGCTTAGCTGACCTGATGCTAACCTTCAAGACTATTGGTGTCTGGGCACAAACCTATTGTCCTCAGTTTGAAGAACAGTCTTCTTCAGAGCATGTGAGGTTAACCCTTTATCTCCCTATCTCCCTTTATGTCTTGGTTGTCATTAATCACCACATAATTACCGTATCTCTGCCAACAACTAGCCAGGGATCTTTTCCTCCTGGAAAGACTCTTACTCTCAGTGTTGTGGGTACAAACCCCATATTGCACAAAAGATTCCTGTGCTGCCATCCCATCAAGTGCCTTTATCTTCCATGAATTTGTCTAATCCCCTTTTAAAGCCAAGTTGTTGATATCCACTAGTACATACTGTGGTGGAAAATTCCATGGTCCAACTATGCACTATGCAAAGAAAGTGCTTCCTTTTGTCTGTTTCATTGGGTGACATCCACCCCCCTTTGGAAAGATAAAAACTTATTTCTGCCTACTTTCTCCACACCATGCATGGACACTTCTATCATGTTCCCACTTTCTTGCCTTTTTTCTAAATTAAAAAGCTCCAAATAAAAGAATTACTGTTGATGTAGTTGCTCCAGCATCCTGAATATTTCTTTTGCATTTTATGCAACTTTTCCAGCGCTCTCTCTCTCTCTCTCTCTCTCTCTCTCTCTCACACACACACACACACACACACACACACACGAGGTGTGGTGGCCAGAGAACAGTACACAGAGTGTTTCAAGTGTGGTACATTTCTTTTGCCCTCTTCTGATTTCACAGCTGGAGAAGCACAGGACTCTTTGAGAAGCTCTGTTAAGAAGAAATTGGTCACTCTGTGTTTCTGGGTATCATTTCCCGAAAAGGCTCTTATGGAAGTGGAGCAGATTTAACACACTCACACACATAGGTGCCCTAGCTTGGTCACGCAAACATTTCACCGAAAATCTGGACTGATTTATGAATAGTGCGAAAATGGCACCTCATGCCTCAACTTAGGTGGAAAGCAGATTCCACCTAAACATTAGGAAAAACTTCCTGACAGTAAGAGCTGTTCGACAGTGGAATTTGCTGCCAAGGAGTGTGGTGGAGTCTCCGTCTTTGGAGGTCTTTAAGCAGAGGCTTGACAACCATATGTCAGGAGTGCTCTGATGGTGTTTCCTGCTTGGCAGGGGGTTGGACTCGATGGCCCTTGTGGTCTCTTCCAACTCTATGATTCTATGATTCTATGATTCTAACTTAGTGCATATTAGCTCCTCCTACTCATCCAACTGTTGAAGAGGGTGCGGAATGTTAGCTTCTAATCCAGATACGTGGTGGACATGTAAGAAAGTGGCTCAGTTCTGGCAGGGAGTGACAAAGCTGGCATAAGACACTCCTAACCACAGAGGTGACTTGGTGACTTGGGCATCCTGATCAAATTTGCAGATGACACCAAACTGGGAGGGGTGGCTAACACCCCAGAGGACAGGATCACACTTCAAAACGACCTTGACAGATTAGAGAACTGGGCCAAAACAAACAAGATGAATTTTAACAGGGAGAAATGTAAAGTATTGCACTTGGGCAAAAAAAATGAGAGGCACAAATACAAGATGGGTGACACCTGGCTTGAGAGCAGTACATGTGAAAAGGATCTAGGAGTCTTGGTTGACCACAAATTTGACATGAGCCAACAGTGTGACGCGGCAGCTAAAAAAGCCAATGCAATTCTGGGCCTCATCAATAGGAGTATAGCATCTAGATCAAGGGAAGTAATAGTGCCACTGTATTCTGCTCTGGTCAGACCTCACCTGGAGTACTGTGTCCAGTTCTGGGCAGCACAGTTCAAGGAGGACACTGACAAACTGGAACGTGTCCAGAGGAGGGCAACCAAAATGGTCAAAGGCCTGGAAATGATGCCTTATGAGGAACGGCTAAGGGAGCTGGGCATGTTTAGCCTGGAGAAGAGGAGGTTAAGGGGTGATATGATAGCCATGTACAAATATATAAAAGGATGTCACATAGAGGAGGGAGAAAGGCTGTTTTCTGCTGCTCCAGAGAAGCGGACACGGAGCAATGGATCCAAACTACAAGAAAGAAGATTCCACCTAAACATTAGGAAGAACTTCCTGACAGTAAGAGCTGTTCGACAGTGGAATTTGCTGCCAAGGAGTGTGGTGGAGTCTCCTTCTTTGGAGGTCTTTAAGCAGAGGCTTGACAACCATATGTCAGGAGTGCTCTGATGGTGTTTCCTGCTTGGCAGGGGGTTGGACTCGATGGCCCTTGTGGTCTCTTCCAACTCTATGATTCTATGATTCTATGATTCTATGATTCTATGAATTCAGTTTCCGTCCACTCTATGCAAATGCCATAGGGCTCATCAGTTGGGTGTCTGCTCCACTAATGGGATTGAGAGCCACATGGAGGGGACTCCAAAAAATCAGAGTGTCAACCCTTCAGAAATGACCCTTGTGGAAGTTGACAAATTGGCAAATGTGCATGTTAACAATTACTGGAGAGAAATGAAGGGAGCCTGCCAAAATGCCTTTAGCATAGGCATGTGTTTAGCTTGGAACCACCATTGTTCCTTTTAAAATCCTCCTGTAGGATAGACTTACCAGGGCTGATTGAAGCAACAATCCATTTTTGCAACAAAGATAATATCATCCCCTACAGCCATGGCCTCCCTCAAAGAATTCTGGGAGCTCTAGTTTGTAAAGTGTGGTGGGAGTTGTTAAAGACCCTTATTTCCTTCCTTGTGCTATAAGTCCCAGGCATCCCTGTGAAGAGGGGTTGACTGTTAAACCACTGGGAATTGCAGCTCAGTGAGGGGAACAAGGGGTCTCCTAACAACTCTCAGCACCTTTTACAAACTAC